CGCTTAGTTATCTAGGGCCTCTCTAAGTTGCTGAGGCTGGCTTTGAACTCCCAATCCTCCTGCCTCAGCCTCTTGAGCCCCTGATTAGTGTGCATCATCTGGCTGTTCTGGGCTTTTTTTTTGGTTCTAATCAGTTTTACATGATAGCAGCATGCATTTCAATTCACTGAACACAAATGCAACACAACTTTTCATTTCTCTGGTTGTACACGATGTAGAGTTGCACCACATGTGCAGTCATACATATACCTAGGGTAATGATGTTCATTTCATTCCACCATCTTTCCCACCCTCATTCCCCCTCCCCTTCTCTCCCTCCCCTTTGCCCAAAGTTCCTTCATTCTCCCTACGCCCCACTCCCCTGCTCTGGGCCTTTCTTACCAGAGATTTATGAATCTCCGAAGACTTATCATAATTGTACCAAGACACAATGCATCTGTAAATTAAGTGGGATTAACTTTCTCTGAATCTAAATTGTTCTTTCTTTTTTTTTTGGTATGGGGGAATTGAACCCAGAGATGCTCTAAAACTGAGCTACATCCCCAGCCTCTTTTATTTTTGAGACAGTATCTTGCTAAATTGCCCTGGCTGCCCTGAATTTGCAACAACTCTCCTGCCTCAGCCTCTCAGAATCACTGGGAATATAGGGGCATGACACAAATTTTCTAATAATTATTAGCTAAGTGATCCATTTCTTGGTATGTGTAGTTCTAAAACTACAGTTTTAATATTCTAGAAAACACAGTGAAATCTAATGTACTATGGACTTTGGGGATACTAACTTGTCAATTTGGGCTCATGGATTGTGATGCAGGACATAAAATAGTGGGGAACGACAGGGGATCTACGGGAGATCTCTATCTTCCTCTCAATTCTGCTGTGAACCTAACACTGCCATTAAAAATTTTATTAAAAAAAAAAGTGCCAAACTGTGCATCTTGTAAATTCTTTTGTGTGATTTAGTTGAAACACGCACTATTAATACATACTAAAGATTGCCCGTCTTTTAAAAATGAAGTCTTGCACGTTATTTTGTTTTCCTACATTTTATTATGCAGTATGAGGAATAACATATACCCTTTAGATAAAAAGCTCTGTTGGGGGCTAGGGATACAGTTCAGTTGGTAGAGTGCTTGCCTTGCATGCATGAGGCCCTGGGTTTCATCCTCAGCACTCCATATAAACAAATAAATAAAATAAAAGATCCATCAACAAATAAAAAATATTTTTTAAAAAAACTGCAGCCTCGGGCTGGGGATGTGGCTCAAGCGGTAGCGCGCTCGCCTGGCATGCGTGCGGCCCGGGTTCGATCCTCAGCACCGCATACCAACAAAGATGTTGTGTCCGCCGAGAACTAAAAATAAATAAATAAATAATAATAATAAAAAAACTGCAGCCTTGGGCTGGGATTGTGGCTCAGTGGTTTGCACTCGCCTAGCACAGGCAGGGCCTGGGTTCGATCCTCAACACCACATAAAAATAAAGGTATTTTGTTGTGTCCATCTACACCTAAAAAATAAATATTAAAAAAAACTGCAGCCAAATGATCAACAATTGAAATGAAAAATTTACTAAAAGTGCTAAACAATAGATTTGATCAGAGATGAAGGAAACAGCAAATTGGTGGAGGTACTGGTGATTGAACTGGGTACTGTACTTCTGAGCTACACTCTCAGGCCTTTTTATTTTAAGACAGGGTCTCACTAAGTTGCTCAGGCTGTCTTAGAACTTGTGATCCTCCTGCCTTAGTCTCCCTAGTCCTGGGGTTACAGGTGTGGCTACCGTGCCAGCAAAATTATTTACACCATTAATTCACCACATGTATAGTGGAAAGGACAAGAAAGAAAGACGTTAAAGAAACAATGAGATAACATTTCATGCCTGGTACGGTGGTTCACCTCCATGTATAGCCATACAGTGTTCGAACTGACTTCATTTGGAAATATGATCCTCATGGGTGTATTTAAAGACTTCAAAATGAGATCGTCCTGCAAAATCATGGAATTTGCAGGGAAATGGATAGCAATAGAGCAGATTATGCTAAGTGAAGCTAGCCAATCCCTAAAAAACAAATGCCAAATGTCTTATTTGATATAAGGAGAGCAACTAAAAACAGAGCAGGGAGGAGGAGCATGAGAAAAAGATTAACATTAAACAGGGATGAGAGGTGGGAGGGAAAGGGGAGAGAAGGGAAATTGCATGGA